CACACACACACTTTGGTATTTTAGAGGGCAAACGGTGCCGTTTAGAACTATGATTCAACTAGTCAAAATTCTCATTACAAGAGGAGACCAGAAATCGAGGGGGGGGGGTCAGGACCCCCCTGACCCCCCCTCTAAATCCGCCACTGCTTGCACGCAGCCTGCTGCCTCAGCCTGCATGATTCTCCATCATATTGCCTTCATTGGACTTTCACACGTTAAGATATCAAAAAATCGCTGATTGGTTCAAAGAATGAGGAGCCGATGGAAATGTGCCAATCGGTTGACTGGGCTGAAATGACTTTCGCGTTGAACTTATACAGTCATGTGCCGTGTGAGAACTACCAAACTTTTAAGTTTTCGTGTTTATTTTATTCAGATGTGAAGGTGTGATAAGTAGGACATGGGTAAAAAAAGTGAAAATTTGGTTCAATGTTTTATTATCTATTCTGGTCATTTTGAGGTCAGCAGAGTTTGAGAAACAAAAATGTAATCAAAAATATCTGCCTAAATTGATAAATTTGTTACTCTCTTACATGTACATGCAGAAATACCTCCGCGGGGTGGGGGGGGGGTCGATCTAATGTCACAGCGGGTCAAACATGAGATAATTTTAATAGTAGACGCCTGTGAGCAATAGGCCGCCTCCAAGCACAGCGACAGGTCAATCATTAATTTGGTTTTTAAACCCCTGATAGGATACCTGTAAGCTTTAACCAATGTAGATCGACATTTTAATGTTTAGATTATCTTTTTTTTTTTTTTTTTTTGTTTTAAGCTTTGCTTCACAGAAAATTGAAACCATCTATGTAATTCCACAGAAGCACACTTGGGTCCTTCTCTTTTCGGTATAGCTTTATTTCATACAGGAATAAGACCACCTAAGCATTTTATACACATATTTTTCTTCTCCGCTGACAGTAGTTTGACAACAGTAAAATTACGTTATCGTTTTGTTTCCAATCTGATTTTGATAAAGCTATTATATAATGTTAAATACATATGAGCAAAACCTTACCCAAGACATTGTATACAGATAATTTAGGTACTGAAATAACACAGCCTATTGAAAAGAATTACCTTATCTGAGAGGATAACTATCTGAGAGGAAAACTTAACTACATGCTTTCAATAAGACCGCATTCAGATTACAATTACATCTTGCTTGCTGGTTTGGTTCAACTCCGGGAGGATTCTTTCTAAAGTACCACCAGTGATTGCTTGTCTAACACGCCTCCTCAAGGATCTAGGGGGTAATAATTATCCTGTACTGATAAGGCTGATTAAACTGAATTCACTCTATTGAGAATCCCGGCCCTGCAGAGTTGGACCGACCCAGCAAATTCGATGTGTTAATCTGAATGCACCCTAAGAGAGTCAGCCTCGTCGTGACATTTGACACCCCAAAGGACTTTTTTTTTGTTTATAGCAAAGAGCTATCGATGACACATATAATACACTGAAACAGAGGGTCACCAAGGCATTCTACAAATCGCACACAATTCTGAAGAAAAGATGGGCCAGTGTCATTCCAGCATGACCTTCATATTTTCTTGGGTCATTATTTTTTGGACATAGAAAATGTGCTTCATCACATGGGGTCCATTTCATTGGGTTGAGAATATTGAAACCGTCTATTATTTCTACACCGTATTTTACCAGCTTCTCTGCGATGATTTCATTGACCGCTGCAACCATGTAATCATTCCCGTCCATCTGGCCCAAAACCCTCGGGAGAATATTTATGTATATAAGGCGGATGTTTGCTACATTAGGGTTTTCCCTAACAGCGCGTAGGAAGTCCACAAAATGGGGAAGAGAATGTTTTACAAGGTTGTGTGCACTCTGGTTTGTAAGCACTAATTCGTGTATCCCAAACCCCATTAAAACTACATCATCTCTGGTGGCGGGCTTTTTGTCAAATCGCGAGAAAAGTGATCTGATTGCTTTTTCGCAGTGGGAAGCACGGGGGGTCCACTTAAATACAACTTTGCTTAGCCCTATAATTTTCTTTCGATTCTTTCTGGGGTTCGTGTCATTTACACTAGTGGTAACATGGACTGTATCAAGTGAAATATGCCTATAATGCGACAATAGCTGATTCAAGTAATTACTAAGATATCTAAGGTGTGAATCTCCAAAGATTTTAAAAGTGGTTTTTCTACTGTAACATTTCCAAAGGTCTGCCTCACTTATGAACTCGAAAATGCATTTAGTTTTAGTTCCCCATTTCCACTGTCCTCGAATATTCCACCAGCGTCCACTGAGGTATTCCGCAATGTTGGTTTCATAACAGTCTCTTTTTGTCTTCTCTTTCTCTTTCTGCGATCCCCATTTCCCGACGGGACCATAATTAAAAGAGTGTATAATTCTGTGAATTCTGTTTGGATGATGGCGTCTTTCGTTGTCGTGGTGTCTGAACGCTTCAAAGTCCGTGTAGTCTAAGTATATTGTACCCTGTACAGTAGACTGAACATCACAATAAGCGACGTAGGTTCCATTAAAGAAATCTCTCACCGGACACACCATGTATTCATTTCCTTTTACCTCAATTCGGAAATTACTTCCCCCGGATGACAACACAGTCTTTTTTGCCGACACCTTTTTTCTTTCTTCTATATAAATATACAGTATATGGTTGTTCGACATTGTCACGTTGAAACTGTACTTGTACATGTATGTCGCATTGTTGTCGATATGGCAATGTTCCCCTTTGCCGTCAGATTGAGGATCGCAACTCGACCAGGCACGTTCTAGCTGTTCTTTTTCAGAAATACCATTCCTCACCCTGTCACGTCCATCCACTGGATTATTCTGTCGATGTCCTTGGACCGCTTCATGTTTGAATTGCCCATCAAATATTATTGTTTTCTTAAAGGGTGGAGCTTTTTCTAATAAACGATGCAAGGTAATGTCTCTATTGTAAAAGTTCAGCATGATGAAGACGGTATATACCGCAATGCACACGACTGCTATAGCATAAACTGCCTGATTTGAGCTCCTCTTTCTCATTTTTGAAAAGAATAATTCAACTGAAAGATTAAAAAAGTATCCTTTTTTTCCAAGTTTTCCGTCTGCTACTTTTTTCTGCGATGACGATTATTACAGAAAGCTCTACTTATTTGGTAACTTTAGCAAGTTACCGCCAACTTATTGAATGCCACGTTTCTGACTATATAATAACTGGAATTGCAGAGGTGGGAAGATAGTTTTTAAGCAATAAACATGCAGCATCCGATTGTAATAATTTTTTTAGCCCGAAGGGATATGATTCGGGGATATTCTACGTAAAGGCGTAATGCATCATATTATTTTTATAGCTTAACATCACACTATTACCTTTTCGAATTTTCGTCTTTTTTGCCGATACCCGTTTCTTTTTTCAATATA